TTCAGACATGACTGCTGCATCTAGCCCCGACCAATTGTCACTTTCCTTCCATGCTCGATCTCGACCTCTTCCAACCCTTCTACTGGAGCCAGTCTCCCGTGATTTTCATGCTCGAGCTCGAGCTCTATAACTTGCATGACTTCGTTCTTGATTTTTCGAACGCTAGTCACATAACACTGTCGGGCCACTGTTTGGTTGCCTCGGACTACCTCGATTCCATTAGTAGTTGGGAATGTCATAGCCAAGTGGAAGGTTGAGACAATAGCTCGAATTCTGTTGAGCAGTGGTCTTCCCAATATGGCATTGTAAGCCATCGACGTACGGACAACTTCAAAGGTGGTGATTTGCATCACCTGTTTACCTTCTGCCCCCAATGTTAAGAGCAACCCAACGATACCTTCCGGGGTGATGACCCCGCCTCCAAATCCTTGGAGGGTTTTTTGACTGGCTTGAGCTGCTCTGATGAGATACCCATTTGAACAAAGGCTTCATGAGACAATACGTTTGCTGCACTTCTGTTATCCACCAGGACTCTCTTGACTTCAAAGTTGGCGATGATGGCCGATATGACTAGAGCATCATCATAAGGAAATGCTATGCCTTCCAAGTCCTCCGTTCCAAAAGTGATGTCCTCTGTACGGTTGAATTCTAGTCTTGAGATGACTGGCGGCTGCCTGACACTGTTTATACCCGCTGCTAGAATCTCCTCTCGAGGCTGTTCCTTCGACAATGATATTGATAGTACCTACAGTTGGTTTCTTGTTTTCCCGATCCTCTGTACCTTTACCTCCATTCTGATTATTCCTCGGGCGCTTGTCATTGCTAATGTAAGAGCCCAAAAATCCCCTTTTTCTAAGAGCTTCAATTTCCTGCTTTAAGGCCAAACAGTCTTCCGTTGTATGTCCGTGATCTCTATGGAAATCACAGTACTTACCCTTGTCACGAGTATCAGGTGGAGACCATAATCTAGGAGGCCACTTTAGTTCCCTCGAGTCCTTGATTTCCATTAGGATGGTGGACCTTGAGGTGTTCAATCGGGTAAAAGATGTTGAGGGTGGGTCCTTTCTTGGCTTGACCCTAGGTGTATCTTGTCTCAAACTGGACTCATGCGGCCTTTTCTGATCCAACCTTCTTGGTGAGGAAACTTCTCTTTTTGGGGCCATGGTTTCTTCCATATTGATGTACTTCTCAGCTCGTGTGAATAGCTCGGTAACTGACTTCGACGGGGTCTTAGGCAAGGACATCTTGAATGCTTCGCACTTAATGGCGTATGTCAGAGCCGAGACTGCAGCAGTGATATGTAGATCGGGGATCTGAAGCCTTTCTTTATTGAACCTGATCATGAAATTGCGCAGTGTTTCATTGGGTCCTTGACGCATCTGCATGAGTGATGCGACTGTCTTTCTGATTCGCTTGTTGCTCGCAAAGAAAACGGAGAACTTATCGGCCAAATCTGAGAAGGAGGCGATAAAGTTTGGTTCCAATGTGGAAAACCAATCTATAGCTGCGTTTGTGAGGGTCTGGGGGAATGCCTTGCACATTACTACATCGGGTGCAAGCTGTAAGTTCATGATATCCGTGTACACATTGAGATGATTGATGGGGTCAGTTGTCCCATCTGCTCCTTTATCCGAGGATACTTGAACCTATCAGGGAGGGGATGCGAGAGGACTTCTGGAGTGAATGGCGTATTGGGGGTGAACCCTGTTGCTGCCCGAGTATTTTGTTGCATACCCACTGCTTCCCTTCTTAGATAATTCTAGCGAGTTCAGTCGAGTCCATTGTAACGGACCTTGAACCTGAAGCCACTTGTGGTGTGCCTGAAGTTCCAACCCCGCCTCATCATGGGCTGTACGACAGACTCGAGCCCGGACGTCTGCCATAAAGCCACCTTCAGGGGTTGGGGTATGCGATCGGTGTGAATTTCTCTTACTTAACAATTGGGTTAATGCAGCCACCTACTAACGAAGTTCCTCAAAAGCTCCGGCGAAAACAACAGTTTGAGGAGGTGCTGGCATCTTCGACGATTCTTCTTAAGGGATATGGCGTTCCTCAGGAGAAGGATTATCTGGGATGAATGAGCTTGCTGGAGGAACACCTGAACGTGTATTGACCATGGCTTTTGGTAGCGTTTCCCACAGACGTCGCCAATGATGCTACCAAAAAATAGCATCTGAAAGATCTCAAACTCGATGATTGAACTCCGAACTTTGATGAACACGAACAGCCTTCGAATACCTACAACAAAGGCAACGAGGTGTGTGCTTGTCGCTCCTCTGATACTTAAGTCAGATAGGAAGTTTAGTGCATGAGGCTATAAACTAGAATAATGAAAAATGTACTTCAAGAATGAGCACGGGTTGCGTATTTATAGGTGTTAATGATGGAGTCCTAGAAGGACTTATCCTTTTCCGTCCCTATCCTCATAGGATAAGGAGTTAGTGTTTTATTCCAAGTGTTTGAACATTGTTTGAGTCAAAGAGGGAGTCTAACAGGGTAAGGATTGTGGCTTAAGTAGAATTAGTGCACTCATAGATTGTTAAGAATTGCGTGGCGTATTGACATACCCCGACCTCAAAAGGCCCAACCTTGATTTGGTAGTTTAGGATGATAACAAGGTCGGGGATACTAGATCGAGTTCGGGATTACAAGATCTGGGGTCATCGGTATGTATTTCAATGACAAAAGAAAAACAATTAATTTATTTCTCTTCACGATATATACCTAGAGAGAGAGAGAGAGACACATTTTTCAAAACAGTTGTGCTAGGTGTACAGCAATACTGTATGCCCATACACTCCTCTCACAATGAGGGGAGTCCACAAATATAATATTCATGTGGGCTCCCTCACATTGTGAGAGGGCTGTACACCATGATGTACAAAAAGTTTTGTTGTTTTCAAAATGCATTGAGTCTAAAGAGAATACAATATATAATTGAAATATCATCAACCATTTAAGAGTTGTGTTCCGCTAAGGATGATAAGTGGGCTCCGCTCTTCCCAAAGGTCGAGTTGTGTCAGCTCATAAATATTATTAATGTTAAATTTATTTTTATTTTTATTTTTGCATTTTTCACTCGTTAGTGATTCGACTCGTACGAGCCACGA